TCTGACTTGTGCTGGAGCAGAAAACCATATTTGGGAAACGCTGAAAAGCTTCTTTAGGGAGAATCTCATTAAATAAACAGCAAAAAATACTATCAGCTAACTATAAACATGGACATGCTCTAATTTTTTCCTTTTTTTTTTTTTTTTTTTCCCCCAGCATGATGACAGATGTGCTTTCTAGCTTTCTATAGCCAAGTTTTTAGTTGAAGGTCAGGGGCTGAGAATTTGAAAATGATACCTGACTGAAATTAAATTGCTTCTGCCAGTTGACATGTTCTCTAGTTATATGTACCAGTGTATATCAGAAATACGTAGTGGCTTCTGGTACAGAGGCTTCTTTATGCAGGAAAACAAAGGAAGCTCCCTGCCAAGAGCAGAGCAGGTACAATAAACACTGTTTCAAATAGGCTGTGGCAGGTGATTCTTCCAAACAAAATTCTTCATTAATAACAACATAAATGTGTGTGTGTGATAGGTGGGCTCTTCACCTGCAGTGATCCTATTGCATTTGATTTTATTTCTTGTCTCTACTCTGTTCTGGGCAGAGCACCACAGGTGTCATTTTTGGAGACCTATTTGTCAGAGCCAGATCAGGGTGTGGCGATGATGGTGTTTGTGGATGCTTGGCTGCTGTTCTATTCCTTAGTATTCCAAGGATGAAGATTCCCTCAGCTCAGTGGGTTCCTGCTCCAGTATAGCATGTCAGTGCTATCATGGTGGCCCTCAGCTGACTCCAGCCTCAGCATCCTTCTCCTCCAGAAGGCACTAGAGCACTATGTATTTTCCATCTATTCTAGCCTGGACTCGATCATCTCACTTACAAAATCCTTTTTGGTCCTTTATGGGTGAACTGTTTTCCTGAGTGCAGTTTTCTAACCTAGTTCCCAGGCAGGATCTGGCTTCCAAAGGGGCTCAGCCAAGGTGCCTCCTTGAGTCTGAACATCTGAATTTCATGTGAAGATGTGCCTTTTTCAGGAGACAGGAGGACAATACTAAAGTATGTCTCTGTGTCTCTCTTCTTTCCAGATTACCAGAGTTAAGCCTACACTGTTTTTAAAACGGTGTGGAAGAATAAAGGCAGCATATTGTACTGAGAACTGCTTACATATCATGGTGCTGAGCAAGGTGAATGGGAAGGGAATGAAAGATGTTGTGACCTAGCAAGGAGGCCAGGAGTAGGAAATTGGGACTTTCCATCATGTTTTAACTTTCAGCTGTGTGTGTGAGACAATGGGAGCAGCAGCTTGAAACACCAGCGGCCTCCATTTGCCTAGTCTGAGTAAGGCCGGTAGTGCTAAGCATCCAGCACTTCTCATAGCTTTCATAAGGCTGCAGGGCACTCTTCCAAACCCAGTCACTTAACCTCCTACATAACCATCAGATAAAGACCATCTCCAGTGGAAGGAGGTTCAAAGTAGGTACTATTCATTGCTATAGGAAAACCCACTCTTCTCTAAAGGCTATCAGGAAAGACCAGGTTCCTTTCTAGATATCCAGCACAAGCTGAGCTGCAAGATTACCTCCTCCACTGGTGCCCAAATGGGAGGGGATCTCTTGGAACATCACAAGATAGAAGACAGAATTATGGCATCTATCTCTCTTTGTTTCTAGATCTCTTTAGCACTACATTTTTAATCTAGGTCAGTTATAACACAGCTCAAAGCTGACAGATGAAACAGCTGCAATTAACACAATCAAGCCTGTATTTTCTTATGAGCAGCAAATGTTATGTAGACAAGCAGACAGAGATCTCTCCCAACTTATGTACTTGCTGAAAATTTAGCAGGCACACTGATAAACTCTGTTCATGGAGATGCTCTTGAGTTTTTGTATTTTACTCTTGTCATCAGCAAAGTTCATGATAATTATGTAGTGTGGAATGATTACTACAGAGTGAAAGAGCAAGCTCCAGGATAGTTCTTCTCTATGGCAGTTCATTTTTCAGTGATATGAGTGATGGATCTAATCAACAGATCTGTGCAGCAGAATAAATTCTACCATCTCATTGTTGCTTTGGGGTGTGGATTATTCTCACTGATAAGTGTTCTTTATAACTAGGAATGACTCCTACTACATCCCAGTAAAGAAAAGGATGCATATACATTATATCAGTTTATTGCACTTTGTGGCTGACATTTGCAAAGCTACCTAAAGGATTTGGATGTCCAAATCCCATCAGTTTTAATCAGCGTAGAATACCCCATCCCTTGGTTGCCCTAACTGAAGCATCTATATACATAGTGCTTATTTCCAAGTATGTAGAAGTCATTGGATATTTGGCCAGGCCTGCATCCAGAACTTCAGACAAAAGAGCAATCACCACACACCTCCCATGAAGGAGTTGAAGGCAATGCAGATGGCTTGAGTAATATATTAGAGCAGACTGATCCTGGTTGCTTTGGAGAAAGCTACTTGTAGTCCAGATTCTCCCAAAGTACCCATGTAGCCATATTACAGTCAGAAAGAAAGGCAATACAGTCAGAAAGAAAGGAGTGGAATAGCAAAAGGGACAAACAGGAAAGAAATACTCACCTATCTCTGAAGGCTAGTAGGGAAAAACTCCACGAGAGAGGGATCCGCAGCCAGAGATCCTTCCCCAGAGGCAGTCAGCCCTTAAATGGGGTCTAAGAGAAGTGCAGCAAGGCTACATCCTTCTGCTCACACAGCTGAGTTGCCTTCACCTGTGCTCCCAGGGCTGACCAGTCCTTTTCTCAGTTGCTCAGTCAGGCTGTGACTCTAACAGTTCCATACAAGCCACCACCTGCAGTCTGCCACAAAATGCTTTAATGGCAGCCACTCAGGAGGAAGATTGAATCTGTGGTAGCACAAGCTGCAGTAGCTGTGTCAGAGTAGGGATGGGCATCAGGGCAGTGAAAGTGCCGGAGCCACTGATGTGGCAGCCTGGCAGCCCTGAGTAATGAGCTGAGCATCAGTGAAACCAAATAATTAAAGTTGCTCATGGAACAACCATTAAATAAGCGGATGCTTATTAAGGTTGGTCTCAGGAACGTGTACAAAGTGTGAGCAGGGCCAAGGAAACAACAAGGCTCTCTTGACTCTTCTAGCATTTTTCACCTTCTGTAAAGATTGCTGAGGGAACCATTAATTGATAATATTTTTTGCCTGACAATCAGGCAAAATCAGTATACCAGCCCTTAGCCCAAGATGTAACTAGTGGATGTGTTCCTTCATGTAAGAATTTCTTGATTTGTGAGTACAGCTCTCAAGCAGCCTCAGCTGTGCAGAATGGCCTACCTGCACGTGTCTTAGTTTCATCAATGCTTTGTACACAGGTGGTCTTCATGAGGAGCCCTTTTTGGTTGCGGGTGAGATTAAACCAAAATTATTTGTCTGAGTTTGCTGTTCATCTAATGAAAAAGCTGATTCTTATTTGTTAATCTTTTGAGATGTGTCTGTCTGAAAATAAACAGAGCCTCTCCACTAAGTGTTAGGTTGTACCACATACATGTAGGAAATTAGAGCTGAGTACGTGTTCACTTGTGTCAACTTTTCATTGATGTTCGAACTATAAGATATACTTGGTTTGTGTGATTTGTTTGTGTATTGCTTTTCTGGCAACTTGTGTCAAGTACTCTTGGGTAGACATGAGAATGCAGTTAAACATATAGAGAAGTGTCATTTGGTTGAATGAAATAATATTAACTGTACTGGATGCGTAAGGAAAGAAGGGGAAAAAAAGCTTACCAGACCACATTTTGCATTCAGTGCTGATTTATCAAGCAAAAAGGAAGTACTAAGGGAAGTCAGCAAACTGAGCCATTTAATGGTCTCCACGTTTGGATTTTATAAACTGCAGTCCTCAGCCTTGTCTCTAATGTTATTTACTGCAAATAAGCATACTGTTTTTCCAACTTAGTTTCTTTTTTTGGGCTAAAACAGCTGTGTAAGAAGATGCTATACCTGCTGCAAGTTCTTTGTACCTCAAGTGCTAGTGCTTATCAGAAACCCCTTTATTTTGTTCCTCCTTGAAGTGAGATTCTTGGATGCTGGCTTTACAAAATCAGCAGTCAGATGCATTCAGTAAAGGTTAACCATTCACAGTTTGCTATATTTAATAGCCTAGAGTAGAGACCAAGGAAATTCACATTAACATTCTGTGGTGCTCAAAGTGTTCTTGAGAAACTTCTATCTTTGGTCTTCCTGAAAACTTCCCCTCTTGCTTACGACATCTTTATAGCTTCTCAAAGGCTGAACAAAAATTCTCTAGGATAGTAAATCTGAGGAGCCACGCAGAAAAAGAACTAGTCTAGAAATGAAAACTTTTCACCTGGGAAACGACAAAGATTTCATTTCAATGAATACATCTCTTCATTTTGTTAAATTGCTGCTGCATTAGCACTGAATCTCGGGAGAAACAAAATGCAGGTAAAACCAGAAATACTTCAATGATTTCTGGGATATTTAAATTAATGGAGACCAAAGCATGTTGCATCAGCGTGATTATTTTGTAATAGTGTGGGTAAACCAATGGATGTGTATTTAGTTTTTGATTAGAGAGATCATCTATTGCATCTACCATGTAGGCCAAATCCCACTCTTATTTGCAATTACTGAAATCCTACTGTAGGCAGTAGTACCATGTGAAACGGGCAGCATCTCATCTCTTGTTTGATAATACAAGTTGCAATAGAAAACAAGAGCAGAACATACAGCTCTTACATTCCCATTATTTGCACATAAGTGGAATTGCAAGGATCCCAACCAAGAACAACAGGTAATAATAGCAGCCAGGCCTCTAAGAAAGAGGGCACGTTAGTTTGAGTGGCTTTCAAGAGAAAAAGGACTCTGTGGGGCTATGTGGGGTCAAGTGAGCTTCTGCCATCCAAAATCAATTCAGCACTTTTGGGAAATGATATGTGACTAATGTGACTGATTCCATTTAATGTTTTGTATTGGCAGAGGTATTTGTATAATACCAGCATTTATAATGTTTTCCAGGAAGAACATCACTCTATCATTTGCTCTTGACTTGCTTTCAGGTCCTTGTCCGGCTTCCGTGTGAAAATGACCCAAATTTCAAGATAGAAGTTCCCAAGAGCAAGAATTACTGTCTGTGCATTGTACTGTGCCTGCTACAAGAGCTTTCCTCTGGGTGAGCTTCTGAAATACACCTCTGTACCACAGTAGATCAGCAGAGCTGTAACCTCATCACCCTGTGCTTCTGAGAGTTCTCCAGGTATGAATTGCTAATAAGTAATACTAGCAGCATCCCTAAAACATACACTTTGGGGTTCATTTGAACATTGCTTGGGGGCAGCAGTTTGCATTCATGGGAGCAGCCACAGTGCTCAGGCTGTTCATTAATGCATTTCATACTCTCACCTCATGATTGTTGAGGTCTGGGTTGTTCTGTTGAATGCCTTGGCATGTGGTTGAGGAGAGAAGCACTTGCTGTGGACAGCCAAATTCATGTTTGCTTGCTTATTGTCATGTCAGCAAGGGAGAAAAAAAGTCCCAGCAAATAGCCTCATAGTCTTAGTAGTCAGAAATATTTGAGATTTCCAAAATTCTACCTTTGTAAAACTGTACATTTGCAGCTTGCAGCTGCTGCGAGGCTCCAAACCTTCTGTGGAGGGCAAAGATGTATGGCTATGTATGCCTGAAGCAGGCGTAGGCAAAATATGAGGCTCTGGCAGCGCAGATGTATAATCAGTGGTATCACAACTGCCATCATTTACGCAATTATAATAATATGTCAAATTGGTATTGAGTTAGCAGAGCTGTATATGTTTGTTTTTTAAACGAAAAGGTTTATGGAACAGAAAGGAACCTTAGCAACAAAATGCCAAGCTACAAGTATAGAGTACCTGTGTTGCCAGAGAGCCAGAGACTTTCTGTGTGAGCTAAATAATTAAATTGATTCTCCATTGTTGAGTGGAAGAGAAAGTGTGTTAATTTTCTGGAGCTGCCGAGGTCTCCTTGCACTGTACTCTATGCAGTGTCACTGTGCCTGGGAAGCACAGCCTAGATTAAACTCAGAGAAAAATGCTATAAATCCCAGTAACTCTCAAAGTCCACAGGTACTACTTGTGATTATCTGAAGATGTAACTGCTATTATCTCCCCCTTGGCACAACCTGATGGCAAAGCTAGCAGTGCTTTCGCCACCCCCATGTTCTCTTTGAGTAAGTGGCACGATGTCTTGCCCGGGTGCTGCTCCCTGGGGGGTCTCAGCCTCCTGCCACAGGCTGCCTGTATGCCTGCCTTGAGCAGGGCTGCATCCCCCAGGACCAGCCCCTGGCGGAGCGCCTCTCCAGCAGCGGTACCCTTGTATGAGGGGGATTTCTTGTTGCCATGACGATGAGCCTGTAGAGATTAACGTTTCTTTCTGCAAACGGCAGTTCAAAGCTTAAAGTGATGCTGCTGCCTCTGAGTGCCTATTAGTGCCATGTGCAAACATAGCTGGGCAAACCCTTATGAAAATAAGGAGGAAAAAGGAAAAAAAGCCAGCTGGTTTTGCACTCCCTTCCCCACTTGGGCTTCGAGCAATAGAGAGAGTGATTGCTTTCTGCGTCTTTGTTCTCAGCTCTGGCACAAATCAAATCAAACCTCCCTTCCCCCAGCAAAGCACATTCACTAAGCTGGAGCATGCCAGAGTGAAAACGGATTAAAAAGAAAAATCATCTCTGCTGCTGCAGATGAAGAGGCATAAATCAGTGTGATGGGGGGTGCTCTGCCTCTGGGCTGGTGATTCCCTCTGCTAATGGGGTGCTTAAATCAGTGTGGCTGACAGTCCTGGGGTATCCATGGCAATGGGCTGAGAGGGGCTGCAGCCAGACCTGTTTTGGTGTGAGCCCAGCAGCGCAGGACGAGCCCAAACAGCCTCTCACCATGCTGGAGGGAGCTCCTGAGGCAGGAAGTGCTGCAGTGTGCTCCAGCATTCACCAGCGGCACCCCAAAGCCATAAAAGTGGGTTATATTTCAAGATGCTTCTCATAGCTGATGTTAGAACAAGGGTTGTTTATTTTCAGGAGTCAGGTTTTCTCCTCCTGCGTAAATACGCCTTCCATACATTTTAAACAGTCTTATATAGGTCATGAATATATTTTAACTTCTAACAGAGTAAATTGGACTTTCTTAGAGTTGTATGACCCTGGAAGCTGGGGGAATGAATTTCCAGGTTTACAGTGACACACCTTTACACTGTCAGTATTCCTTTCTCCTCTTGGCTGTCCCACGAACTGGTGCAGCAGGTAGGGACCCTTTCAGCCAGCCCCATCAGTAGAAAAATGAAGTCTAAAGTTGGAACTGGTGTGTGAGGACCTGTGGATGAGTTGGGGTGGAGGACTGGGGACAAGCTTGAAGTGTGGCTGGCAGGCGGTTTGAGTTCGGGTGGAGGACTGGGGACAAGCTTGAAGTGTGGCTGGCAGGTGGTTGTCAGTGCCCACTGTCCTGCACCACAACTATCCACAGAGAGAAGGGGTGTTTGCAAGTAGAAGTGAGAAAGCAGTGGGGCTTTGCTTTGCTGCTGTATTTGGCTGCCATTGAAACACAGGTTGAAAGTGGTGAACACCTGTAAGAGGTGTTCATGTTATAAGGACAAGTGAGACTATATCTTTACTGTGTTGGCATTTTTCCTCAGTTTTTGTTTCTATTTGCTTCAGCCACTGGGTGATACGCAGTGGTGATAAGCCCCTCCATGGTGGGTGGAGGGAACATTTCCAAAGAACCTGGCAGGGCAGCAAGGCTCAGAAGGGCTTGTGTTTGGGATAGAAGACCCAAAGTAACCCTGAAATGGTACCTAGCAGAGGGGGAAGGAGGGCATTGGCTGTGAGGGCTACAACCAAACTTTGACTTTGGATTGATGCTGAAGAGTACTCAAGCCATGGCCAGTTGGACATGGCATTGCTAAATGGTTTTGAAATACAAAGAGCCAGGACTACATCCTCCAGAAAATGCTGTTTTTTCCCAGCATTGCTGTGCCAGTTGGGCTGGATTAAGGCAAGATTCCCCTGTTTGGGAAGGGGGGACTCCTTAATCCTCAAAGCCTGGATTTAAAGATCCTAGAGAGAGTAATCACATCTGGATTAGTTTCTGCTGGGGAGCTCTATGAAAGAGAGCAGCTTGACACCACCAGCCCTGAGCCTGGTCTTCATCCTTGTTTTCAGCTCCTTTTACCAACCACATATCTGAATTATACTTAGATGAAGAAAGAAAATCCCACAGAAAAGAGTATTTCCATGTTCAAGCCATAAGTGGTTTCCTGCAGGGGAGATGTATAAAACATAGCCCAGGCAGGTGACAGAAGGTGACTGTCTTGTAACTGTCTTTTTTGTTGCACTCACTATGCTTCTTTTGTAGCAAACTAAGCTAGCCTTTAGCCAAAGGAGGAGATGCTGATGACGAACACACTGGTGTAGTGCCAGCCCTGCACTGCCTGGAGGTGAGCTGGCCTGCAGCCGTACGAGGACACCTGTAGTTACTGCCTAAGTCTTTCTCGTTTATTTATTTGAATCCAGATCCCTACAAATGTGAGGTTTCTGTACAGATATAAAACAAATAAAGCCTTTATGTCAGCTGAGGCATATTCCTGCTAGGAGATCCTGCTGGAAAAATGCACCCTATGGGCTTTTCCAGCTGGCCTCAGTTATTGTCATAGCTGCAAGTGAGCTCAGGGTCTGTGTGTTTACCTGGCAGGAGGCAGCTGCTTCAGATCAAATGAGGATCAGCTTCCTGATAGGTTCACCACTTCAAAATTAAAACTGCATTATTTACTCAGGAATTTCTAGCATCAAATCTTGCATCCTTTCTTGTGTCCTCCATCTCCCTCTGTAGCCAGGATGAAGGGTGGTGACATGCTTGGCACACCTGCAAGCTCCCTGTAGTATCCCTGTGCTATATGACAGTAGTTAGGCTTGGCAAACCAGGGTGGCAACAGCAGCAGTGACAGGCAAGCACCACCTGACTGACCTACCTCAGGTTGGGAACAGGAGCTTCAGGCCCTGCTGCATGTTGCCTGCTTGGTTGCTCTCTCTAAAAGTTCCCTTTGGACGATACTGCAGGCCTTTTGGCATGTTGCCCCATGTGCTTGTGCTGCACCATCCCAGCCTTGCAAGCGTGGCTCATCACCTTGGTTTTCAAGCGTGATCCATTTAGTACAGTCAATTCAGTCCTCTGCATTCATATTTGCTTTCAGTTTTCAGATTCTCTGGATCTTCTTTTGCAGGTCTTTGTTATCTCCATGATCCTCTTCTGGCTGGGGATGAGTTTAAATGAATCCATCCTCTGAAAGAGACATCACAGAAGTAAATACGAACAGTGCAGCAGGAAGGAAAGCAATGTAATAACAGCTTTGCCAAGAGCCTGGCCCCTTTCGTTTAAATCACTGATTCTGTTGATCATTTCAGCAGACTAGAGAGCTATCCTGATTTACTTAAAATTTTCAATATGACTTTTGCACAGGACAGACAGTTTCAGTAAGATCCTCTTTAAAGCATTCGTCGCATGATATCAGAATGAATTAGATAAATACCTCTAAAGACCTGATCTTTAACCTTTCCCTTTGCTATTTGTTGCTGAATTGAGGGACAGTGTTTTTCTCCTTTCCTTCCACCATCAGCCACACTGATGCAGACTGATTTCAATAGCATGCCATCAGTGCCCACTTCCCAGTGACTGCTGTGCCAAAATAATGTGGGCATGTCTGCCAGCGGAGCAAGGCAGAGGATGCTCCATGTGCAGGAACCTGCCTCCTGTGTTCAGAGGCCACAGGACTGAGGTGCCACACACTGTGCTCTCGTTGCTCCACGTTGGCAGTCCTTTACAACCTTGGGGCTGCCAGCGTCTTTTTCTTCCCTCCCGGGCTGTGTTGTATTGAATGGGATTTGGATAGTGGTTTATTTGTTAGAGACTGTGCCACTGCTCTGGGATGTCAGCTCCTGCAATTTTAATTTAGATGTTGTCCTTTTAATTTAGATATTGTTGAGCACCTGAATCACACAATCACAGAAACACCAAGGTTGGAAAAGACCTACAAGACCATCCAGTTCAACCATCCACTCATCACCAATAATTCTCACTAAACCATATCTCTCAACACAACGTCCAGATGTTCCTTGAACACCTCCAGGGTCGGTGATGCCACCACCTCCCTGGGCAGCCCATCCCAGTGCCTGACCACTCTTTCAGAAAAGTAGTATTTCCTAACATCCAGCCTAAATCTCCCTTGGTGCAGCTT